ATCCACAGTCGTTTTTTATAGTTCCGTTTTGATTTGAAACGCATCTTCATTTGTCTTACGTTATGCTCGATCATAAAGCCTATCAGTCATCATAACTTATTGATCAATAAATAATTATTTTACTTTCAATTGTCTTCAGTGCCTAAAATAATTAAGAACAATGAATGTTTGTTTTAAATAATTAAAACAAATGTTTACACTGCATAAGTGATATGTGGTATTTTCGTCGTTCCGCAGTGGCGGATCCAGGGGGGCTGCGGGGGCTGGCAGCCCCCACCCAAGGAAAACTGGCGCCACTGCGCCGAAGGCGCAGTGGCGCCAATTTTCAATTCGCAACTCATCGGAGTGCCGCATACTAGGACTAGGATGCAAAAATCAGTCGAATAACGTCGTTTCAGTACGCTCCGCACCGATATTTCCAATCGTGTGGTGTCACTGTACATACTGATCCTGGGCGCCTCTTGTCAGGGCCACTGGGCGCCAATATTTCAGCGCCAATACGATGCTACTATGGCGCCCATCCGGGGCGTGGCGCCCAATTATGACCTGCAGCCCCTCCCCAGTGAAAATCCTGGATCCGCCACTGTCGTTCCGTCCTTCGCACAGCGCTCCAAATAATCAATTCCACCTACCCTGCCGGCGAACTGCAGCAGCCGTTCCCCAGCGACAGGCTCGAGTATCGCACATTCTTCGTCAGATCACCTTGGCAGATATGCGCCGGTTGAATCGAGCTCTGACGCAGAAGACGCATCGCCACGCCGGTTGCGCCCGCTCCGTGTCGTAGGGGGAGACCATTTATCGTCAGCGTGTATGGCCGGACACCCTACGTGGCCGCCTGTCTGCGACTGTGTGCGTGTGTGTGTGCGTGTGTGTGTGGTGTGTCGACGGGTAAACAGGTGGCTCACAAAGCCGACGCCGGGCTGTCAGAGCTCGCGCAGTGAGCCGCAGTGTCGCCGGCGGCGGCTGAGGCGCCGAGCCGAGCTATTTATCGCAGTCTGTCGCCAGATTGCTATCAGCCGCACACGGACGAGCGGCGACCTGCGCACAGACGCACACACGCCACCTGCAGACTGGAAAATTCCAGTGGAGACTGGAGACTTCTTCCAAACGTTTCACCATACGAGTAGCTGGTATTATCGATTTGTAAAAATCCAAGAATTGTTGACACATTCATCTTCATCAATCAGTCAACAGTCTCTTTCTTTCCACTTCGGACGCCCAATAAACTACCACATTTTCTCATGACTGCATCTCTGTTCATCAGCATCACTGATACATGGAGCTGAAAAGATAACCCGCGCCGGGCCGGGGGGTGTTTGAACACCCCCCCTGCGGTTTTTCGCAGATATCTCAAAAACGGCGGCGCGGAGCGCCGCCGTTTTTGGCACACTTGTTTGTGCATCTTTTTCGCACATGTTGTGAAAATTTCAGACCCAGGTCGCCTTAGGTCAGGTCACCAGGTCACGCCAAATGACCTCACCTCAGAAAAAAATAAGAATGCTCGTCATAGCTACACCGATTGATCGATTGCCTTGAAACTTTCCACGATTGATTAGAGCAACATTATCTTGAAAATGTATATCTCAGAATTTTGATATCGCGGTGACCTAAGGTCAGGTCAATTTCACTGCCTCTCCATTATACCTAAGTCAATGGGAGAAAATTGAAAATCGTCTGTTTTGCACGAACGCTATTCTAGACACTCTCAAACATCGAGATGTAGGTACGATTGACACACTGAACCGGAAAATGGCAACTGTGACCCCTCGTTATGTCCCCGAGGTCATCTCAGGTCAGGAACAGAATCTAACAGTTTTTCGCTAATAACTTCTGATAGAGGCGTGCTAGAGCGCTGAAAACGCCTTAGATGTGTTCGGCTTGACGTTGCGGATCGACTGATATGCAACATGACCTTTCCCGGTCAGGTGACCTTGACCTGAGGTCAAATTTTCAAGTTGACCTTTCAAGGTCAAATTATAGTTCATTCGACGCGTCTCGACGAGAGGAACACGATGCTGGGAAAAGTAATGTCATGGCTCTTTTGAGTCAAAAGTTATTGCCGAAAAAACGTTTTTCGTAAAAACGGCTATTTTTGGAGTTTTTGCCCTCTGGAGGCTAAACCGTTGACCTGAGGTCAAATCTGAGAACATTAATCAGAAAGGTCTGTAAAAGGGCTATCGAATGCGCTTTTCTGCGACACTGTAGCTCTATCGGTTCCCGAGATAGCCGTCGGCAGTTTCCAAAATGTTGAAATAGTCAACATTTTACCTTTGGTGACCTCTGGTGACCTGACCTTTGACCTGACCCAAAAAATGACCGAAGTGCTTTCGTCCTGATTTTGGACGTTCTTTCGATTGCCGCTTACCACGTGTCGCTACGTGGCCCAGGAGCCGAGTTAGAAGGGGGGGGTGTTCCGGCACGGCGCGGAATCTCAGAGCACCGGCCCGGCGCGGGATAACAAGAATCCGTGACCCACGTCTGCCTGCTTTTCTGCATTTGCACGTTCATTCTCTATAAACACTCTTTGTTCTTCAAACTTTAAAGGTAATGCTGACTGGGCGAAGAAATATCAGGAACAGCGCACTTTCTACACGTGTGCGTATGACTTATGCTTCACATAAATTACAACTATTGATTGCAAGATGCTGGAACAGCATCACGCGTAGCGCACCCCCTTATGCGGTTACGCCTGAAATAATGTCTTCATTTTAGTTGCAAATGAGGAACCCTCTGGTAAGGTCAGACCACTAAACAGACGGTCTGTTTGCGTGGTGTGATATATCAGCCTATCCATCGCACAGGCACATCATCTTCGCTGTTGCTATGGAGTTGTTGACAATCATTTATGTCTACCTATCGTTTCAGCTGACAGACACTTATGCCTGTGCCTGTGACCCTATGCCTGTGACCTTGGTTTCTTCGAGGACGGTACAACAAAGTGCTTTATTTGGCGTAGCACTGAACTATGCCTACAACTGACTCGCATTATTTGATTGGCATTTGCCAAACAGTAATTATAAGGCAGGTGTATCGGTGAGTAGTTAAAGCACTGTCGTATATAACAGCGTTTTGGACAGTTACAGTTTTTTTTTTTACAGCGTTTTGTGATGTTTCAGTCGCTGAAATATGCAGACCTCGACATCGGTTGCAGTCAATCACAAAGCTCATAACACTGTTAACAAGTATGATATTGGTACGCCGCACGACATTTAAGTTGCATCGTACCGACTAAAGCAGTAGTTTGGGAGCTCGCCCCATCATGGCCCTAATTCGCTCACGGACGAGCTCGCAGCATAACTGTATAATCATGTCATCCGAGTCAAATGTTGCTGTTGGCAGCAGCAGGAGCCACTCTCTCGGGAAACGTATTGGCCATAATCGGACGTACATTTCCTCCATGAGACGTGAGCTGTGCCGGCGCCAGCGGCCGGAGCGGGCGGGGCCGGCGGGTGGCGGGGGGCGCTTGATCCCCTGCTGCTCTATAGAGCTCTTCTTCACCAGTTAAGCTGCACGGAGGTGACAGCATTGTTAGTTTTGGCTGCATGAGAGAACGTTGAAAATAAACTAAAACTTAGATCCCTTTTCAAGGCGACTCATTTGTTGATTAGCATGGCATACACTACTGATGCGTAAAACATAAAAATTAATGGTACATAATTCAGTAATTATTTTAAACAGGCTCATGCGCTGCTAAATAGAAGAACGTTTTCTTGCATTGTGTGCTATATAGAAACTAATCATGAATTACATCCCTCCCTTTCATCTCTCTCTCTCTCTCTCTCTCTCTCTCTCTCTCTCTCTCTCTCTCTCTCTCTCTCTCTCTCTCTCTCTCTCTCTCTCTCTCTCTCTCTCTCTCTCTCTCTCTCTCTCTCTCTCTCTCTCTCTCTCTCTCTCTTCTCTCTCTCTCTCTCTCTCTCTCTCTCTCTCTCTCTCTCTCTCTCTCTCTCTGTCTCTCTCTCTCTCTTTCTCTCTCTCTCTCTTTCTCTCTCACTCTCTCTCTCTCCCTCTCTCACTCAATCCCTCTCTCCTTATCTTTCCCATTCTCTCTTTCTCTCTTTTCATTCTCTCGCTACTTGTATTATACGTTACGCTGACACGTAGAACTCTTTGTAGTGAGAAAGTTCTTTCCATGTTATGATATCTTAAAATGTTAAATGTTAAAATATCTCTTCTTAGTTCCGTCATTTTGAGATGCTAAGCAACACGTCTAATGATATGTTCAATTTCTTGTTATGGCTAACAATAAACCAATAATAAACCAATAACACAACCACTATTACCACTTACCAGCCATTGTCAACAGAAATGTTTGATGGAAATGCTGCTTTAAACTATCTCTTTCTGTGTAGAGCGGGGCCCTTAGTAGGCAGCAAATAGATACCTTATCCGACTAGTGCAAGAATGTCACACATTCCAGCTGTCGCAAATCGTCCATCAGCAATGGAAAGGTTACCGGAATGTTTATGGATTTCGCACATCATTTTTCAAACACAATATTGTATCGTGTCAGAATCTCCAGACTTACATAATCAAAATAAAATGAAGTCAAATATTAGTGGTGAGCATATGTCTTACACACGTAAATGCCCAAACAGATTTTCATTGCTTCTTTTTTACAGTTAGCTTTGCTTTGCACATGCTTTAGATGATTTTACTTAGGTTGAAGTTTGAAGCAGAAGCACCAATTGGTTAAAGGATTGCTGGTGAGATCCACATCGGTATAGAATTGCGTCCAAGGTGTGTAATGTAATAAAACAATGGCGACGTAAAAGGTTCATGATAACAGAGTAACCTAATTTCTGACATCATCTTTGAGCTCTGGCTAATTTGATCGACTTCAAAGCTGCATCAATTGCAATGTTCAAACCACTTCGTGGAAACCTTAACCATAAATTGCATCATGTGAATTGATAAACATGGCCATTACAAATCCTCACAATACCTATGTCGCATGAAATTACAATCAGGTATAGGTGCATGTAAAACTGATTGCTACTTACCCAGTTTCTCAGGTGTCCGGCCTTCCTCAGGCGTCTCAGGAGTGCTGTAGAACACTGAGATTCCGTCAGCAGCTGAAGCCCGACAGTTTCACGGAGAACACCGTTCCATGATCGACGATTGAAGAACTGTAGCACGTATCACGACGAACGGACTGTCCCTCAGTCTCGTTGCTCTTGTCCTTTCAGTGTTCCAGGGTCTCGTATATTCACTAATGTCTCCCGGGAGACATACCCTCTCCTTCAGCACTGCACGGCCACTGGGCAGGTGTCTCTCACCGGCCTCTTCAGATCGCACCGAGGGCCGCGAATTGTCACTGAATCTGACACCTCAGGGGCAGGGCGAGCTGAGCCTGAGACTGCCGCGCCGGCGAGACGCTCGGTGGGTCAAGTAACAGTCGCGGGCTGCGAGTTTCACAGGGCGTTCCTCACCGCTCCACCGAGTGCAGCATACTAGCGGCAGTCAACGAAAGCTCCGCCCCCACCGCCGCCACCGCGCGTCTCAGTCACCTCCGCCGCCTCCGCCGCCGCCGCCGCCCCCGGTCGCCGCTCACCGTCCACCGCTGGTCGCCGCTCACCGTCCGCCCACTGGGCGCCGAATGTCGGATCCGACGGAGGACCGACGCTGGGGGTCGGCGCGCGGCGCACCGACACCGCTGAGACGGCACTGGCGCAGGTGCGGCGACACTGGCGCAGCCGCGCCGCCGCCCGGCCACACGCTCAGGGTATAGGATAAGAGGAATTGTGAGCGAAATAGGTTTGGATACTTACTGACTGTAGTGATGTGACTGGCTCAGTTATCCTTTTCTGTACAATTTTCAATCTTTTCACTGATCAGTCATTGTGATTGGCAATCGGCATTACTGCATCTAATGGTGCATTTATTTATCAAGTTTCTTTTTCAACTAAAAATGTGGGGAAGAAAAAGGAAACACGATTTTGATGATAGCACCAGCCTCCCAAAAAAAGTTAAATATATCCATGTCTTAGCTCAAATCAGACAAAACAAAACAGAAAATGAAAGTTGTTGATGAAAACTTGGTGCGTTTTTTCATATTTATGTTTTCTAGTTTCATTTTCTTTTAGTTTCCGAAGAGCTGGCAGCTAGGTTGTCAATATTTCGTCACGGTCTCTGAGAGATGTGTTTCCTGCATATCATGCAGATAACAGTATAAAACACCATGTTTATGTATCCTTATCCCATAACTGTCTAGATGCCAAGGGCGATATATATATATATATATATATATATATATATATATATATATATATATATATATATATATATATATATATATATATATATATATATATATATATATATATATATAAATGAAGTGGCAGTGATATATCGTTTTGGGTGGTCAGTTGACCAAATAAAGCCGAGGATACTCGGTGGCAGTAGACTGAGACAACGCGATAGTCGCCAATCTTAATTGCAGCCATCGGTAGAAATCTGCCCACATTAATTACTGAGGAGGACGGCCGCTGAAAGCGATAACATTCGGCCCTCAGCGCGTCCATCGGTCGACACTTCGACCACTGATATCTGAGGGGCTGGAGATGGTGGCCAACCAACACAGAGTCGGCCCGACAAACGACCCGAGGTTAATGACGCCCAGATTCCCCGGCACCACCCAGCACATTTTTCAGGATTTCGGGTTTTCTTAAGCTACGCACTGCGGGTTCAGAGTGAAGGTATGCTCAGTTATTGCGTTATGAAGCATTGCTGGTTCATATTGGACTGAGCCGACCGCGTGTTTCTGCATCATTATTTTTCAGCGAGCACTTCCGCTTCAGTACCGGTTCATTTTTACTTTCTTCAAATAAGCAGTTTGAAACAACTGGCCGGCGACAGCTAATTCTGGCATTTGGTAAGCACAATTGTGTCCTTGCTTAGATGTCTCAAGTCAGTTATTACATCAGTTCATTACATATTGATACATTGTCAGCTCAGCTTGTTGCAAGGGTAAATAATGAACTCATTGCAATTCCAACGCAAAGTTTTTTTATACCGATATCGCTGATGTTAAGCAGTCGAATTTCCTCTCTAATGCAGATACTTTATAAATGTGCTTTGCTGAAGTGATATTTAAGTAAGCATTGATGATTCTGCAAAATCACTGACACAAAAACATCTCACTTCTTAGCACACTATTTGTACCTATTTCATTCATGTTTTACCGCCATTAAACAATTATTAATTCTTGTTTACAGCAACAATTATATATAACAGTATGAAAATCTTTCAACTGTCTGATGTCTAATTCCAATGTCATTTCCAATGCTACTTTTTCCATGCTATTGTGCTGCAAACACAAGTCTTAGCTTATTGCTGTGGTCTTCGAGGCATGCAAGGAGGCATACAACACGGACAATAACTAAATCCCAGTTTTGCGGACGCAGCAGTACCTACATAGTCAAAATAAGAAAATCAAACTGAGATCTACTCCACCGCACGTGGGGACCCAGCGACGGTTGTGAATGTGACATTTGAACTCTGTCCCAGTCATTTATCAACTCAGCAGCGGCATTCAGTCGACCCCAGGGCACTGAGCGAATTGGTATATTGCAATGCATCAGGCATGTAGAATTATAAAGCCGGAAAATATGACTATGACTAGTGTTCCGAAATAATGTAATAATCTCCAATGATGATGTCGCCGCATTGGAACGGCAGCACATGCAGCGCGATGTCGCCGGGCTGCCAAATATATGAACTTATTCACAGGCTGTATGAGCCGAACTTGAGCTCATTGTGAGGCAAACTACTGCGATGAGAGGCTACGAGCGCGGCTGTCTCTTCATGGACAGTCGTTCAGTTAGCGCCAGCTGGGAGAAGTCCTGACGCGCAGGGTCAGCTCAGGCCTCATCTCAGTCGGGCAGTCAGAGGATCAGGGATGGACAGAGGAGAACTCATGTGGCGTGGTGGGACTGTTTGGTGAGTTTTTAGGTGTTTATGCTGCGCGGCATATAACTTTGATGCAGTTATGAACATTATAATTGAAGTTATAAGAAACGGGCTTCTATATTTGAGAATTATCTAGAACTTTAACCCTCGCCGGCACAGGCCATTTTGCGTCCTTCGACGGCACACCAACGTTTGGCCCTCGCGTTTGGCCCCTGATCGAGTTAGAGCTTCGCAGAAAAAAAAACGAGCGTGTTGCCCGTCACGAGAGGAAGTCGATGATATCCAATTTTAAGGTCCTAGGTCACCGGGTGACCTTCCAGGTCAGGTCAATGACCCGAAAATCGGGAAAATCGGGACCTGTTAGAAAGTCGTAAAGTGTGGCAGCTATTGGGTTTTCCGGGGTGCTGATCACGAATATCGTGTTAGTTTTTATCAGAGATGATGTCTTTAAGCATTTAGACCAGGTCGGGTTAGGTCAGAGGCCAGTTTCACCAATAAAAAACAGACGGCTGCGATTATTTTTTGACAAAACGATAGTCTATAAATCCTATTTACCGGTGGAAAAAGTAATTGCTGACCAGATAATATAGCACTTGAAAGCTGCGTTATTACATTTTTCAAGTCAGCGACTAGTATTTTTAGCAGTAAATGACATTTTGAGACTATCGTTTTGTCAAAAAATAATCGCAGTCGTCTGTTTTTTATTGGTGAAACTGGCCTCAGGTCAGGTCAGCCGGTAGGGGTCGTGACGGGTATTCGTAATACGTGCCAACCGCCTCTGACAGCTTTCTAACATGTTACGAAGACACCAAAACTACTTCGTAAATGTTCAAATGGTTGCTAAATTCGAAATCAGCTAAAAAAAACTGGCCTAGAAACATGTAAAACTCGAAAAAGTGACCCGAGGTCACCAAAGGTCAATGACCTGACCTGACCTTCAGGTGACCTTGACATCCACCCTAATGCATGGGAGCAACATCAAATCACATGGTTGAACGTTTGAAACCACGAAAAGCTTGCAAACGCATGGCTGATGCGAGCCGACATACGCCGAATCGCGATCCCGGCCAAACATGGTCTCGGAAAGTAGGTCACATGTCAAAGGTCATTTGGGTCAGGGTCATGAAATTTTCAGGCTAGGTGTCAAATTGGTCAATGCGAGGGTACTGAAAGTTTCGTTGCGATCGGTTGCTTTTTACGCGAGTTATTCGCGAAAAACCTTAGGGGGGGTTGCATCAACTGTACCGGCGAGGGTTAAAATGAGAAAATACTAGAAATTAAAGATTAACTAGTTTTTGTGTCTAAAACATCTAGCAGACAAAATGTTCCAAAATAAATTGAATTGTATGTTGTTCTCTTTTTGTACCGTAAACGGGGGTGACTTTGCCATGTTTTCAACTTTAGACGCCTGTATTCTTTAAGCTTGTTAACTTATTGGGATGACTCTATGTTCAAAACACGGATGAAGATTAGCTCTTTGGTTTTTGCTATTATCGTATTTATATCTCGCCTAAAAATATAAATTTTTAAGGAAAATGAGTCGTGGTAAAGTTAAACTGAAAAAGGGGTGACTTTGCCACTATGCCAAATAATGTTTTTTTAACGCTAACAAATACTTTTCAAGCATTTATGTTCCATTGTATGGGGAAGGGCAACCATCCTTAATTGTTTAATTGGAAAAAATAAAGCAACTCGATATTTTTTGCTCTTAAACGATGTAAAAAAAAGGAGAGATACCTTACTTTTTGTCATACATTATATTTGTTGAAAATAACTGAGATTTGATCGTAAATAGAAACTGAAAATGGTTCAGAATAGATAAATAAGCAACGATATTATTGTACCGGTACTCTAGGACCTTGTCGCGTTTTTCCAGCGACATAAGAGGAACAGAAAGAGGACGTTCTTGCGGGAACTTACCGACACCCTTATTATCAGCGTTTTGATCTATAAAATGATACACAGATTTCTTCAGCCAGTCTTATTGGCAATCTCAGGAGTTGTAGATGATCATGGCTGTGCTAAAAAGTTTGGCCCAGCTTCATCCATTTTTCTATTTTGGTAACCTTTGCCTTTTTATACTCCCACTGTGGCATATTTACGTCTGGACAACGAGTTGCGGGGAAAAGTGCTGATTGTGTTGCAGTTTTAGGAGCTGGTGATTAGGCTGGATTTTTGGGTTACTTCTTCGTTCCGATTCATGTATTTCATAGTGTTTGGCTTTTGAATATTTTAGTTCTTTCAGACAAATATTACTTGCCTTACAACTTTTGTAAAAACGTTTCATTTTTTCATAAGCCGACGTTCAGAGTCCTAAAAATACATCAGCACTACAATCATTGTAAACAAACAAATGGAGCACCACTTGGCTCTGTTCCAAGGCCATTTTTTAGTTTATCTGGTGGTTTTCTTGCTCTTGTACGTCGTTTTGTTGGATGTTTTGAATCCCTTAAGATTGACTTATATCATATTTAAGAAGCATGTTGACTGAAAACAATCTGAAGTATCCAGGAGGCGACAGAGGTCCTGACTACTGAGCAATATCAATATCAAGTTGAACAAGTTATGAAATTTTAGTTGATAAACGCAAGTTGATGGGGCTCATATATCAGCAAGAAAAAGTAAAATTAAAAGAGCTTATTGTCCAAAAACAAGCTATAATATTGCAGACCTTGGAGCAATACTGAAGAGCACGCGCTGAGCAGGATCATGCCAGAAAATGTTGACTGATGAGTGCA